CCCTGATCCCTCCATCTTGTCTGCATAACCCCCCTGTACCAAAAACCCTAAAATCTATATTTCACCCTGTAATTATATCTTTTTTGCACCCTTCACTCCCAAGTGACTCTCATGTCCTCAAACACGTGTCACCTCCTTAGAAGGATCAAAATCAAGCCACCAGATGCTCCTGGCAACATTCCAGGATTTCCGAGCCCCCCAAGGGTTCTCTCGGTAACTGGACTTCCGGAGTGATGTGCTGAGTTCCCACAGGTTTTAACATAGTGTTAAAATAGAAACTATGCTATGTAAGATACTTTTTTTAAGAGAGTACTCACATACTCACACCAAGATAGCAGCCACAGAACACCTAAATCTTTCAGAGAAAAAGAATTTATTGCTCTCTTATCGAGTTCTTCCTGCCTCGCTCAGTCCTGAAGATGCCATTAGGATTCAGAGGAAGAAGCTGACACTGACCAGACAGAATCCTTTGTTTGAATGGAATTTATGCATCATGTATGAGATGTATGAATATGCAACAGGCAATTGCTTTTAAGGGTTAATCCTCTGTTAATGTGTGTCTTTTTGCGGTTTTATTTTGCCCAGGAAGAGGTACCCAGACTGTTCGTAACTGTTTTTATTGTCTTGTATTGTCCTAAGTCCTAATTGTCCAAATTTTTATTACTCTAATTATATTACTATTTTTATAACCATTTTATTACTATTAAACTTTTAAAATTTTAAAAACAAGTGATTGTTTTTCACCGGACAGTCCTCCCAAAACTGCTGTGGTGTGAATCACTCACCCACAGGGTGCAGTACTCTAAGGATAGGCTGCTCTAGTTTGGCAACAAGAGCCCTCTATCTCTGGAAACAAGGGCTCTCTCTCTCTATTCAGGTTCCCACTGGACCACAGCTTCCTCTGGCATCCAACTGCTCCAGCGTGAGCACTCCTCCTGATGGCTGTGAGTGGATCTCTGCATCTCCTGTGGACTTCATGGGCTGCAGGGGGACAGTTTGTTTCACCATAGTCCTTGCCACATCCTGCAGAAGAATCTCGGCTCTGACATTTGGAGCACCTCCTCCCCATCTTTTTCCATTGACCTTAGTGCTGCCATGTTGTTTTCTCTCACATGTCCTCACTTCCTCCTCTTCTCTGACTGGAAGAAACACTGCTGCCAATAGGCACCCTTGCCAATAAGTTCCACCAATTCAAAGATTCCTACAGGATCCTGCAGTGCCGAGAGGTCAGTTTCATCTAGGTTCCATGTCAGGGAGTCACTCACCATGTTTTCACTGCTGGCCATGCAGCCCCGCCACCATCATGCAGCCAGTGGCGGTTGCCATGGCACTGGCGCTATTTAACGCCTTTCCTCATGTGGGGTGCTGGGAAAGGGAAGCTGCCATTGCCACCCCTGCCCTTCTGCCCACAGTGGCTGGCTAGGGGTGGCCAGGCAGGCAAGGCTCGCTGCAGGCCAGACCGAGATGGAGACAGCTGTGGCTGTCTCGTGTTTGTCCCTTTCCCCACAGATATTCCCATTTCCCATGGCCCTCCTCTTAACAAAATAGCACAGAGACCTCTGTACAACTATGCCTTTAATTCCTTCTCTGCCTCTCTCCCATGATGCCACCATCTCCCCCCCCCAGCCCCCCCCCCCCCCCCACCCCGCAACTGGGCTTTGTTCTGCTAACACAGCTTTCGCTCCTAATTATTGTACATGTTCCATGCTGCTTCTAACAACTTACTCAGATCCCTAGGAATAACATATCCAATCATCACATAGCTTCACAACTTCCTCTGGCTCTTCCCTACAAGTTTGTGCCACGGGACTAAACCCTTCATGAATTTCCAAACCCAAAATCCTTTTGTCTACCCCTCCATCATTTATCATTCCATTAACTTAATAATTCATGCCTCTTCTGCCTGCAGCTGGAGGAAAGTCCCCAGCTGCAACCTTATCTATTCACTCAGCCCCTCTTGTCCCCTTGTGGCCTGTCATGGGTCCTCATGGCCCCTCTCTTCCACAACCATACTTTATACAGTAGCAGCCATATAAAAAACACATTGTATTGGAAACAGCATTTCCCAATACTACAAGCCTAGGCTTTTTTCTTGCTTTTTCTCTAAAGCTAAAATCACTTAAGGACCCCTTAATAACAGGTAACACTCTGTGTGTGAGTGTGTGCACATGTAAAACAAATCTACATACAACACCTTAACAATTATGCATTCCTCAACTCCTACCACCTGCTGCAGCAGGAATTGTACTACCTGTGTGCCCCCCTACCACCCTTGTCTGCCCTGTTATGGACTAAAACTTTCACTACCATGGTCACTTTCTTCTTCTTCCAATTCCACACCCACTCCATGCCTTTGTCTCCCCTTTGTGCTCCTCTTCCTCAATCCAGTCTCCCTTTATACATGGATAAATTGACACTGAAATGGACTCCAGAAATTTTTTGTGCTTTTATCCCCACCCACATGGCTAACTCTCCTTACTGAGAAATCTTGTGCAGTTTGCACTGGAGAAATTGGCAGGACCTCAAACTTTAAACAATTTACCCTTTCCTTGTTTTATAGAAGTAAGCATGAGAGAGAGAAATGTGGTTTGATTATGATCATGTGGTCAAATCACCAGCAAAATGACAGCTGGTGGCAGATCCTCTGAACCAGGTTAGACCTTCTATTAGACCCATATGAGCATTTGCAACTTGAAGATTCACTGCCTGAGCATGATGATTAAGGGGGATTTGTTAATTGGTGTGAGCAGAGCCAGAAGGGAGTTCAATCAGCAGTGCAGATGTTCTGATATACTGACTTCCAGAAGACAGTACATCCTGTAAAACCTACTGTGTTTGGTTTTACTGGAATCTATGCCACTGACTCCATTCACCCGTTTATTTTCCTTTTCGCTGTTAAATAATGACAACTTGGATCAGCTGTACAGGTTTCGCTGGCTATTGGTTCAAAGGGCTCTGCTTATAAGAGGTCAGTAGTCCAGAAGTCAAGGGAAGAATGAAGAAATATATTAATAGTGGAATGTGTCCACCTAGAAGGCAGAGGAAAGAATGAAGAATAAATCTCATTCGTGACAGAAGGAATTTTAAATTGCGTCTTCCACCAGCATACAGGGTGTATTACAGCTAAATAAATAACAAAAAAATGAACAAAGACCTCTTTGAATTTTTGGACAAGAGCTCTGTACTTACTGTCTTTCTCACTAACATCAAAGGATTTATAATACCAGAGAGTCCATGTCACCTTGGCTACCACCATCTCCAGGTACAGGTTCTTTGTACGTAACATACAAAGAACCTTGTAAAGCTTGGTAAAGATTGCTGAGCTGATTCAGGTTCCTGTAAAAAGAAACAGTTGACATTAGAACACAGAATAAGGCAGAAGGGGTTTTTTGTGCCTTGTTCTTCTCTAAACATAAAAAGAATTTGAATCTTCCACTACTGCTGGTTTGTCTGGAGTATTTTTCATTTCCCTCTGTCTGCCCTGAGGTTACCTCTGGTCTTTGCCTATGATTTCAGGATCATCCTTTCTTTGCTCAGCTCTAATTTTTTCCCTCTCTTCCAAAGGAGCAGCCCCCTTGTTTTCCAGACCCTTTCATCATTTTTTTCTTTCTTCTCTATGTTTCTCCAGCCCACTGAACAAGTAATAACATTTGCCTAAACGCAGACATTTTCCACCTCAATAGATGTGAGTTACTGTAATATATCACTCAAATTCCCCCAAAGTCCCCTTTATTTTCATGAAATAAGAGCAGGAAGATATCACTGGGATTTCCCTCCTTTTGTTGCTTTGATGGCACAGGGCACTTCTGGACAAATTTATTTTAAGCTGTGCAATGCGCAGTTAACTGGACTTCCCTCTAAAATCCCCTCAGCTATAGTGAAGGCACGTGAGCACAGGAAACTTGCTAACACATTTTTCTCATTAAAACAAAAAGAGTGTGAAGCGTGTCGATACATCAGTCTCAAACAACTGGTTTAGTTGCTGGCCTGTTTTAGAGGGACCAAAAAGGGCAAGGCTGGCGGAATGAAATGTAAGTGATTTATGACATAGTGATTTATCCTTGGAGGTAGAAAGAAAGGTAGAAATAAAGGTAGTGGTAAAGTTGAAATTTTGTTGAAAAGCCAAGGGGCTTTGGTTAGTTAGCTGGCAGAGGGAAAAGTTGCACTAAATCCAGCACAGTGGTGGGGAAGGTGTCTCCAAGTACAGCTCTACCCATCTGGAAGAGACACTGCCCTGATCTCCAGATCCCAGCCAAAAGTTGGGCCAAATCTGTTGGGGACAGCAGAACAGTTCTGTTTCTACAGATCAAAAGGCACTCATTTGTGCACCAAGGTACTGAGAACAGCAGGACAGGTGAGGTTAACACATGGTGAGCCCCAGGGTGACCCAGGAAAGCTGCAATCACCTTCTTCCTTAAGACAGTTTAGTAGCATTGCTCCAAATATTCACACAGATCTGTGTCTTAAATAAGAATGAGTTTCTAGGTTTATGTAGGCATCTTTGTCCATTAATTTTGGTAAGAGGTTGAAATTGTGGTGTTTGATTTTTCCTGTGAGCAATGATGGCTTAAGATAGAGTCTGGCAAGATAAATATTGCAAGTGGTGTGAACAGTGTATGAACGTGTGCATGTGTATGAAGGCATCTGAAGAAAGAGCAGGCACTGAATGTGCTGTATTGATCACTAAGAATGCTGTTTCTAATTAATCAGATTGAGAAATGAGTTGTTTCTGCCAAGCCTGTAACAACGCCTGATAAATTATTCCTGTTGTGTTTTATCAGCGGAAGATCCTAATCTAACAACACAAAAATAGCACAGACATTGTCCAGTATCACTCCCGCTGCCCGTTTTCCTCCCCACCCAACAGGAAGGTAGCAGCCAAAGCAAAAGACCACTCCCAATTACATATGCGATATAGCCTAAAACAGTTTGTTACTGGGCTGTAATGAATACCCTTGAGGGAAAGGTTAGCGCCGGATGGGACACCAGCTCAGCTCTGGAACAAGGTCCGCGACGCGGTCTGGGAGCTTCCGCCTCCACGGGATTTATGTCATCTTTCTCCGTGTTTCCACGTACTTGGCTGTGAGCAACAATCCCTGTCGCCGCCTTCCCGGGACGCATTCCCACGTCTGAGGAGGGTTTCGGGCGGAGATGAGCAGTGAGTGCCGGGCGCGCGTCAGCCTGACAGCGGCGCCGGGAGTGGGACCCCGCCGTGGGGACGCAAGGCTGGAGGCACAGCCCGCGGCTCGCGTCTTCTTCCGCCGTCCTCCCTTCTTACCCGGGAGGGGCCTCCAGCTGTCGGACTCAGTCGGCAGCTGCCTTCGGAAACCTCTGTGACGCCAGCAGGGGGAAAGTTTCTTTGAAGTTAAGGGAGATTCCCAGACAGTGGTGGGGGGCGTTTTGTCCAGGGAGCGGCACAGCCCGTGGCTCAGGAGCCCTCCGAGGTGCTGTTTTGGGAGACGCAGTAAAGGATTTGCGCTTTACTTGCCCCAATCTTTAACCCTTTTTTTTTTTCTTTTTTTTTCTTTTTCTTTTCTTTTCTTCTTCTTTTTCCGTTCGTTTTGGTTTTTGTTTCCTCACTCTCTGCAGCACCCGTGACTGGAGTTGTGACCTAAAGGGACTTCTTTCTTTCTGTGCCCGGTATAGCTACACGGTATAGACTCGTTCCTCGTGTGAATTCTTGTTGCTACCCCGGGTGTGTGCAATGATGCATTAAGGGCTTTAATGGGTACTAAAGCAGCGAAGCAAAGGATTGTTATTGAAAACTCTGCTTGCCTGCAGGCGTGGTACATCTTCCCCTGCTTTATAAACAGCTCTGTGACTCGATAGTTTCTGCTTGCTGTGCTGGCCCTTGATTTCTGCATGCTTGTGGGAATATCTGAATTTCTTATAGCCGTGCTCGAATATCTGATTACACAAACTTTTTTCATTGGGCTCGTTGCTGATACGTTCTTGTTTCCTGATTTTACACATAAGATCTTGATCTCTATTTGTTCTTGGTAACTGGAGAGTTATATCAGGAGTTGTTTTAGCACAGTGTGTTTAAAATTTAAATGCAGGCTACTGGTTGTGGGTGTACACAGTGTGTACACAAGTTCTTGGGAATTTGTTTTTAAATCCTTTTTTCTTCGTCTTATTGATTGATTTATTTACCAGCCCTTCTATTTTAACCTGTGTAATATAGAAAATACTTTTCAGTTGACTATCTCTTTTATTTTTTGAATGTTGTGAAAATCTTTAAAAGGTTGGGCTTTGCTTAAATTCTTGACACAAGATGGTCCCAGGATGCTTCAGCTAGTTTTGCAGGCATTGGCAAAAAAAACCTCAGGAGTGGGTAGAGTGTGTTACAGAAGTATTTTTTGCAAAATTATGTTTCCTCTTGAATATAACACCAACTTCAGTTCCAGGCAGGTCTACAATTCAGTTGTAGGAAACAGGGCAATAAAACTTGTCAAGTCTTGCTGTCTGACTGTGGAACTATATTCTTTTTCACATGAAAAATTTACTGTTAATTCTTGCACCCTGAATGTACAATATCACCAGAAGATGATCTGTCATCTCTATTTGGTTTTCTTTAGGTGAAGCAGATTTTCTCTTCCAAAATGACTTTACAAGCTCTGGTTTTTTGTTTGGCATATTCTGGGATTGGAAAGGCAAATGGTAAGTTGAATTTCCTGAAATCTCCTTGAAATTGTTTGGGGAACTGGTTTCAGGTTTCTGAGGCTTCAGCAGAGTAAGAGACAAAAATAGGTGAAATACAGATTGCTGGTGCTGCTTGACTTACATTGCTGAGACAGAGACATGGAGCTGGTAGTTGTGACACAAATCCTCCTAGAGCGGCATTTAGAGATGGGAAGGACAAGAAACATCCCATATCTACAGTGACACTGGACACCATTGTTAACCTGAGTTGACAGCTTCCAAAAGTGGGCATCCAAAAAGGACTTCCTTCCCTCCATCTGAAATGCACCGTGAACTCTGAAACTACAGTTCAGAAAGCCTTTTAAGGGCATTTTGCTGTTTACTTCTCTGATAATGTCTTGTTGCATACTTCTCTTATGCATTCAATCTTCCTCTAGCTCTTAGGAAACAAAAATTGAGTATTTGCTGAGAATAGGAAGTCATGAGCTGATTTAGTAGAACTTAAGAGGGAAGTCTGCAGATATGGGTACAGAAATAGGTCCGTCTTTTTGTCTTTTAAGTAGCTTAGAAGAAAGCTAAAGCCTCAGCCAATGTAAATCAACATAACTTCATTGATTCCTAGGAGTATGCAGGAGATGGACTGTTTTGTAGGGGAAAGCCTACAAAAACAGAAACAATATGTAACTGAAGGAGTTGTGTCTGTGGGTAATCCAGGCCTTAGAATCAACATTAGGCTTCTGAATGTGTGATATCTGCCCATTTCATTAACTGTTTACTGTCATTGCAGTGGTTCCGCAGGCTGGACACACAACAGTGAGGATGGGTGACAGTGTGACTCTGAGTTGTGCCCTGACAAAACCCATGGATGTTCTGCAAGTGACATGGCAAAAGGACTCAGAAGAATTACATGATAATATAGCTACATACAGTGAAACAAACGGATTAAGGATTCAGAAGTCCTATGAAGACAGAATGAATTTCACAAGTTTGGAACTCAACAAGACAAGCATAACTTTTTGGGACACCAGAATGGATGATTCAGGATGTTACAAGTGCCTCTTCAATGTTTTCCCTTCTGGTCCTCTCTCAGGAAATACCTGCCTGAGTGTTTTTGGTGAGGTTCTCTGCAGGGATATGTCTCTAGTGAAATAAGAGGTGTTTTCTCACCCACAGTATTTCCTTGAGCAGATTCAAGAATTGCAGTGATGGGAGCATCCCCTGGTGGAACATGATGTAGAAACAGAGCACTACTGCTGTGAGCAAAATTCTGTGGGTCATATTCAAGATTATTGTGGTCATTTTGGCTCTTGTTTGTTACTCCTTGAGTAGCAGCTGAAAAGCAAGGAGTGGAATCTTTCTAAGTCCTTGATCAGTCCCATCTGGAACTTAGGCAAACCAGCATTGCCCATTGGAGTTTGCTTTTGGTGCAAGGTACAACCCCAGTAATAAAGCCTCTTATTTGGCCTTATTATCACGCAGAGCAATATAGCCCGGGGGCCCAGTCCCCAGAGAGACGGGGTACCCAAAGGCTAAGCTAGCTCAGGCCGAATCGCCGCGGGTCCAACTCCATAGCTAGCTTCAGCTGTCATAGTAGCTGTCAGCTCTTATAGTGATTGCAAACTCTTAGGATTTCAGCTCTTGCTTGCTAGGTAAGTTTGCCCTTGGCTTGAGGCTGCAGCAGACGGCAGAGAGAGGAGAAGGAGAGGCGCTGGCTGGTTCTACAGAGATGGCTTTATTGGGGAAGTCTGCGAAGGGTCCCAGCAACAGCTCTTCTTCTCTCGAATGGGGTACAGTATGCCCTTTTTATAGAGTTGGATAGAATCCAAACTTAACCAATGGTAAGGGTTTAGGAGTATCCATAATTGACCAATAGTAAGGGTTAAATTAACAAAGCCTTATAAGGTTACAGATTTAGGTTATGGGGCGGAGGTCAGGGAAACAGGAATTTTCTTTTGCTGTTTCAGCATTCCTATTGTTCATATTCTCCATGGTGCTTTTCCCAAACTTATGGGGTTTACTACACCCCAGTGCTGTCAGCTGCTCTCCCAAACCCTACCATTGATAGGGAATTAGCAGATAGGACCCATAAATTATTTTACTTAACAGATTATTTTAATATTTGGATTTCAGATTGAGTGAAATCTTTGGGGTATACTACTTCAGTATGGGGGAAGGAGTATTGAGTCATGGAGGGGATCTTACCTGAGAAACTCTTCTTGGATTCCTTGCCATTGGGCTCAGTATGAATCCAGTACTAGCTTTGCTCTAATATGTAATGGTTAGGCTGCTACTACTGCTTACAACCAGGTGCTCACTGTGGTGGTGACTTGTCTCATTTGTGTGTTGGAAGGTCTCAATGCATCTGTCCATCACAACATTTCTGAAGATTATCTGATAGTCATCTGTAATGCTAATGGCCTCCCAGAGCCCACCATCACCTGGAACAACCTGTTCAACTCAACTCCTACACAGAAGACAGTCAAGCACAAAAATGGGATTGTGTCCATCACCAGTACACTGGAAATCTACAATATTCAGAGCATCAGGGCACAGGATTTGATCTGCAAAGTAAGCAACACAAATGAAACATTTGAAATGCCTGTGAAAATAAAAGGAGGTAGGTGAGAAGTACAGGCAACTTGTTAGCATTCTCTTGGCTTCCATGTTTTGCAGTAGCATATTTGGATAGGAATCTTCTGGGAAGAGGAGGGAATGAGATGTTTATATGTCAGGAAATCCTATTTGTGTCCAGTGTTGTCTTTGAGGTAGTAACATATTGGAGTCCTATCCAAAAAAGGAAAAAAGCCAGACTAATCAGCTAGGGAGATATGAGGTTTAGAGACACCATGCATTGTACAGCAAGTTGAACTTAGGTTTCCACGTTGAACTTAGGTTTCCACGTAGGCCTTCATAATTTTTTTAACAGCTTAAAAATAAATATAAATATATGTCAGCTGATATCCATAAGTAGAACGATGAGTAGAAACTCTATGGGTTGTTGATGAAGTCAGAAATTTTGAAATTCATAACAAACTGTCTCTGAATCAAATGTTCCAGTTCAATTTACTGCATGTTTTGTTGTATATAATCTGTACACCATGTTTTGGTTTCTCTGGTTTTTTGCCAAGGCGCACGTCCACTGCAGTAATGGTCAGAGAGGAACAGTACTTTCAGGCATACAGGGAGGGAGTCAGTTGAAGATACTTATGTTTGGTTTATACAGAAATCTTAGATATATTAATGTAACATCTGAATATCTTATAGTGTTAATTTATTTCTTCTTCCAACATTCTGTTCTGCTGGAAAGACTTTGACCCTCTTTCTGCAGATAAGAAATAGAAACATTAAAAGCTGAAGAACCATTTTTACTTCATACAGGAGCATTGACTTGAGTGATTTAAAATTCACATGTCTCTATATACAGAGCCTTAAATTGAAGACCACTTGTAAATTAGCAAGACAGGAAAAGCAGCTTGTAGCTGTGGGTTGATTCTGAAATTACACACTCAAGAAGTAATTGTTACAGGAATAGTAGTAAAGAGCAGGATCTGATTTTTAATATCTGCTCTCTAAACATTCAAAAGTAATTTAGTTCTTAATTCTGAATTACATTACAATTCTGAAAAAATATACTAATCTTTTTGTCCTGTCTCCAGTATTCTTTTGTTTTGGTCTTTTAAAAAGCAAATGCATATCTCAGAAAGCAGAAAACTAAGACTGTTGTTATTTCTTGTTAAGTGGATAAAAAATCAGCTAAGAGCTTGTTGTTTTAACAATCTTATATTTTAGAGGACAAGAAGTTCAAAGGAATAGTTCAACATAAATTCTTTAAAATACATGATTGTTTTGGCTCAAGTCAAGTAAATTTCAAGTCATACCATTTTCCAGCTAATGTCAGTGAATATTGAGATGAGCCTTTTGATTAATAGTAGTCAAATGAAGTGGTAATGTCTAACCAGGGAGGAACACTTACACTCAGCTGTTGGGTAGAGCTATTTGCAGGCAGCAAAACATAGCCGGTCTTATTTTCTTAAAATTAATGTTGCGTTTTCAGCAGTGTTTAAAAGTTTAAAAGTGTTTAAAAGTAAAAAGTGTTTTAAAGTAAAAATAATAAAATTCTGGGTGAACAAAAAAATCCTTCTGAAAGAGTTAAGACTTGTATGAAGTTCTGCTCGTGTGTGTATGCTAACCACTGTATCAGGTATAGGAATGGCAGTATTCTTTGCCATGAGCACATCTTTTCTTCAAATTTTCTGTGGAAAAGTAGCTTCGTGGCTCGCTGAGATGAGATTAATTTGCTCTGGATGTTTTGTTGTTTTGTTTTCACAGAAGAGGGATCGTCATTGCTTTGGCTGGTGATTATTGTGGTGCTTTTAGTAGTCATGATAGTTCTGATTCTGTTCTGGAGGAAGATCCTATGCAGGAGGAGTTGAAGTGGTTTCCACCAAAGTGTGGAAACTTGTGGTTTTCCTAGAGCCCATAATAAGGTCTGATCATCTGCAGAGAAGAACAAGACTTTGTTGGGATACTGTCCGGTTTGGCTGTCTGTCTCTGCCCAGACACCGGTAGGGTGGTTCTTGGGCGGCCCGCTCTTCAAAGGATGAGTCTGGACTCTTCAGTTTTTCGATCTTCTGATTGTTTATTGTTTCTTATCTACAGGATTTTCTTTCTGCCCAACAGAGGTCTGACCTGCAAGGCAGCCAAGGGCACTCTGACCACCCACGGGGCGGTCATGTCTTTTTATACTAAAATCTATGTATATAATATTTACCTTTATTTCCCAGTACTTTTCACCCATATTAGCAACTGCACCTTCACCATGAACCAATCCCCAAGTGCCAACATCACCACAGAAAATGGATGACAAGAAGAAGAAAGAAGAAGGATGAGATATGCCCTGATCCCTCCATCTTGTCTGCATAACCCCCCTGTACCAAAAACCCTAAAATCTAAATTTCACCCTATAAATGTGGTTTTTTTGCACCACTCACTCCCAATGACTCTCATGTCCTCAAACAGGTGTCACTTCCTTTTTGTCCTGTCTCCAGTATTCTTTTGTTTTGGTCTTTTAAAAAGCAAATGCATATCTCAGAAAGCAGAAAACTAAGACTGTTGTTATTTCTTGTTAAGTGGATAAAAAATCAGCTAAGAGCTTGTTGTTTTAATAATCTTATATTTTAGAGGACAAGAAGTTCAAAGGAATAGTTCAACATAAATTCTTTAAAATACATGATTGTTTTGGCTCAAGTCAAGTAAATTTCAAGTCATACCATTTTCCAGCTAATGTCAGTGAATATTGAGATGAGCCTTTTGATTAATAGTAGTCAAATGAAGTGGTAATGTCTAACCAGGGAGGAACACTTACACTCAGCTGTTGGGTAGAGCTATTTGCAGGCAGCAAAACATAGCTGGTCTTTCGATCTTTCGATCCTTTGAAGGATCGAAATCAAGCCACCAGACACTCCTGGCAACATTCCAGGATTTCCGAGCCCCCCAAGGGTTCTCTCGGTAACAATGGACATCCGGAGTGATGTGCTGAGTTCCCACAGGATACCATTTGGGGGTTTGAGAGTGTCATACTGGACAACTTAGTAATAATAAATAAAAATAGTAAACTTAGTAATAATAAATAATAATAGTAATATGTTGACAGTTTTCAGGGTTGCCTCAGTTGCATGTAAATTTAATAGCTGTTTTCCCACTGCCAAAGGACAATCCAAGACTGAGAATTGTGAGGGAAGGATCCAAGCAGAGCATGATGCACTTTCTTTGGTTGAAAGTAGCAATTTCAGCAGAAGTAATTCACTCATTTCAAATTTTCCTGGAAGCCTACAAAGTGCAGTATGCTCAGATAATTTTTTGGCGGATCAAGTAAACATTGGTGAGGAACCCACTCATGCAGAGTGATGTCCCTTCAGGGGAATCATTTTCTACTGGTTATGGCACCATCTTTGTATTTTTTAAGATAAATGGTAATATGATTAAGAAGTGTGCTCAAATTTGGCTTGAGTGTGCTTTCTAATGATGAGATAAGAAGTTGCAGTATAAAGTCAGTGTAATGTCTCTGAGTGTGTAATAACCTGGTCACGGATATATTCAATTCTCTAGTCTTAATTTATAGTAACATAATGAACAGAAAAAGACTGGAGGGCAGGGGGTGATGAGGGGGGACACCATAAGCTTCAGAAATCACAGAAATTTGACGGTAGTTGGTGGTTTCACTGTTGTTGAACTAAATCCACATTCCATGTCTGGCTTTAATATATTTAGAAACACCAGCACATATTTACTCACTTCCTGGCTAAATACTTGCTTCAGGGCTATAATACAATATAAAGAAATGTTTCAAGGAGTATCACACCTATCTATGGTGAATTTAGACCTACTATTAAGGTCTAAATTCATAGACCTACTATGAATTTAGCATCTACTATTAAGAGGGTTTGACCTAATGAATCTGCTATTACCAGAGACACAAAAGTCTCCACTGAGAAGAAAGAGAAATGAACACTTACTGCACCCCAGATAGAATGTCTTAATTGTAAAATGTATGTGAGGCTTTCATTGATCCTATAAACAACTCAGAAGATAAACTTTCTGGTTGAATTTTCAGACCAACCTGGAATTTAAAGTGCAAGGAGTTTGTTCTTAAATCCTGCTTTTTAAAGGATCAGAAGAAAAATGTGAAATGCTTAGAATAAAAATGTATCTTTACTCTAGAACAACCATTCCAATCAGAAATGAGCTTGTACGAAGAATACCATGAAGGAGAGACCTTGAGATGGAGGTGATCTGGTAGAGCTTTGGGATCACTCCCTGGAGCAGATCTGAGACTGACCAGGAAAAGAGAGTGCCAAAAAGCACAGGTGCTGCTTTGCAGTGTTTTGAAGCCCCTTGGCTTCTTGCATGGCAGATGAGAAACACGCTGACATGCTGCATCTGTGCTGGGGCCTGAAGCTGGACCAGTGCCACTCAGTGAAAGGCTGCTTGATAGGACCAGGTTTTCATGTTTGAAGTAGGCTGAGGATCTTAACACGTCCTAGCATGATTCTGGCCCATGGATATTAGTAGTTCCCTGGGCAATGCCATCGAATGGGTTCAGTGATAATTTGTAACAGGGTCATCCCCAGCAGGCAGCAGGTTTCTTACACCTTACACCACCCTAGGTATTGGGCTTGGAGCCCAAGCCATTTTGTGCATCCTTCTTCCCTGACATGGCTCATGTAAGACATTATTTATTGCTGCGGAGACGCCGCTGTGATGCACAGCAACAGAGCCTACAGTATCCCTTATATGGGAAACTGAACAGATCCCCCTCCCCTGCCTTTTAAGGAAAGCATAAGACACAGAAAAGCATTAGTTTCAACTGAAAGCATTGTGCCTCTTTTTCCTTAGCTAGAGGCTCAAAGCTTTAAGTCCCTCTGTGTCTCCAAGTGAAATGGCATCTCATGCCCTGCTGTCTGGGAAGACATCAAGATTCCTGGCACCACATGCATGCCAACTGTCACAAGGTCAAGACTTAATGTAAATCCCTATTCGCTGGAGCAGAGGACATAAATTAGATGAGCACTGTTTAGTAGTGGGTGTTTGTTGGATTAAAGTTTATCAAGAAAAGCAGGATTTGAATGACATCAGTTATTTGTATTCCTTCCCATTTTTCATGGGTTTTGTTTAACTGTGATGCCAGGATGTGATTTCTGCAGTGAGGTTGTAAGTCATTAAGTCTCTGTTCGTTTAATGTAGTCCAGTTTTTATTAGGCATAGTCTGTATCTTTTCAGTTGCTCTTTGGCCTTTAGTTTCAAAAATGTATTGCACTGACCTGGATCAGTTTTGAATAAAGGCACCTGTTGTGTTGTGTCTGTATAAGTTGGACTGTTCTGTTCCCCCCTATCATGCTATGGTTCTGCCCTGGTTCTCCCTTCCCTCCTTATGCTGCCAGTTATCCCAACTCCTCCCCAGTTGCCTTGGAGATTAATGTACCCTTTCTCAAATCCCTCCCCGGTGCCCTGTCCGTCGCTCAGCGCTCCCACCCTTCTCTCTAGAACTCTAGAAACTTCCAGCTAGAGCATCGAGTGATTGGCTCAGGGGCCGGGGCCCCACCCTCAAGTTATCCCCATTGGGGTTTTCCCTAAGTCAATCTTTTGTATCCCACTCCCCTCTGAAACCCTATTCGTCCAAGGACTGACTCCTCCCCTGTGTCCCTCCCTCCTTATAAGCTGCTGCAACCCCCTCGCTCATGTTCTTCGGTTGTCAGTTTCCCCTGGGACCCAATAAACCTCGATTCACCACAGCTGGAGAGCGCTCTATTCTTATTTCTGCTGACTGTAGCCATAAGCCAAGCCACACCCTACCACAAGGTCACGCTGCTGTCATAGCACAGAGCGTTTGCCTTAGGTGCTGTCCAGAACCACAGAGATTGGGATAGTGCCTTCGTACTGCTAGCGGTGCTGGAAAGCTATCCGGAACGTCCGAGAAGGACAATCTTTCTCCAGCTGGACCGCTTCAGGCAGCATTACTTTCTCCAGAGTAATTTTTACCAACTGATCATATTCCTTCCTATGTGACCATCTAAGTGAAATCTGTAGTCGGTCTTCTTAATTTACACCTGTTTCCCTGAAGGCATTATTAATTAGTTTGCTGTAAAACTTCAGTGGTGGTGCAGTTTGATCACTCTGTCACCATCTGAATTTTTTTCCCCTCTTCCAGGAGGCTCTTTTCTCCTGTGGCTAAGGGTTACTAACAGTTTATCTTGTACAGGATTCCACTTTCACTTTCCTGGGCATCCTTAGAATACTAAGAATATCTGTGGAGTTTCAGTAATTTTTAACACTGTACTTAGAGTGTGTTACTACTCCACAAGTACTATGATGAGGAAATCCCCTAAACTTCTTAGCTTTAGATCCTAGGCTGGTTTTGTGGTGACTTGTTTTTTCCTTGAGTATCTGTAAAATATGTTTATGCTTTTTAAAGCATTGGTTGTAGTTAGTTCACCTAAATAATATCTTGCAGAAACCCCTTTTCTGGTTTTACCCTCTGTTGTCCTCAGACTGGGTGGAATGAGGAGCAGCGCCTACACGTGTACTTTTGGAAGTGCTGTTTGTAACACCACAGGAGAGAGCTAACAATAGAGAGCTAATAGCACTGGCTCAAGAATACTAGGGTCTGTCTGGGGCTTCAGTACTTCTTTTCATTCTGCACTAGATAACAAACACAGCCTTTCCAGGCTTGTCAAGATACTCATTTTTTAAAGTAAAACAGTAGCTTTTTATCTGGGTGGTTGGGGAGCCTTCTCTGACAAAGCTTCTTCAAAGTGCTTTTGCATCTGAGAATATGGTTAGGTTTTGCTTTGCTTTTATTTTTGTCGTTCCCTTCCTCTTCATGGTAGATACTTAGGAACCAGGCATCTGGGGCTGAAGGTCAATATGTCCCATCCCTCAGGCATTTGCCTTGTGTACCTGTTACAGAGCATACATATATTTTGGTTCACCCTGAAAATGTCCCCAGTGAAGTGTCTTCACAACATTTGTGGATAAGTGACTTATCTGGAATCAAACTGAGCAGTCTTTCTAGCAAGTGCTGACACAGAAGCTTTGGGAAACTCATATTGCATCCTCTACCAAGTAGGCAGGCAAACCCAGCTGTGCCTATCACTTGATGTAAGTGCAATGAGCAGGCTGCAAAAAAATCACCAGGCATAAATTCTCCCATGCCTGAATTCTCTTGATACTGCTCATCTGATAAAAAGTTAAATCCTTTCATTCCTTACTCAGCTAATAGAGCTTAACTGTAAGCCACACTGAGATAAAGCAATCCAGTTAAGAAGCTAAGTGCCTGGGTAGAAGCAAAATAAAGGCTATTAGCCTGAATAAATTACTGTGAGTTACCTGTCATTTATGTGTCTTCACTTGAATGCTTTCCATAGCATCACTTGCTTATTTCATGGCTTGCAGGATACTCATATTTCAGCCTGACCAATTAAAAATTTATAGTTAATTCTCAGGATGTATCAGTCTGGAAGGGGATAAAATTCCACACATACGTTTTTTCTGGAGGCTTGTGGTAGCCTGTGAGGAAGGGCTACTACACCAATGTATATAAAGGCCAGAATGTTGTTTTTGTTGGTTTTTTTAAAATTTGGGTTGGGTTTTAGGAATTGGTATGTTGATCTCTCTTGGGTAGCTTATGCAGGTTTTGCCATGTGGAAAGCTTCAGAAATATTCAAATAGTATACTTGTGTTTAAAAAAAACTATAACAAGAGGGGAAAAAAATTGTGACTTCTAATTGAGTAGATATGATACTGAATAGGTAAGAAAGCTGAACAGAATAGGTTAACCTGGAAGAAGAAAACTTGAAGAGTCATAGAAGAAAACTTGAAGAGTCATAGAAGAAGAGAGTAGGCTAGACTAAAAATTCCATTCTGCAGAAAGCAGGAGCATAGAAATGTGGTTTTCCTGTTTGGAAATCAAAACATTCATTTTCTCCTTCAAGTGGAGATTTTATGGAACTCAAATGTAAGCAGCATTGCCTTTACCTCTTAGTGCAATGGTTTACTTGACAAGGTGGTGTTTGGTTAAAGGTTGGACTTGATAATCTTGGAGGTCTTTTCCAACGTTAGTGATACTACAATTCTGTTTGTGTCTGAACAAACCAGCTATCCATATTCCAAAGAAATGCTAAACCTCTGTGTGCTTAATATGTTAGACAAGTACTCCAAAACAGGTTCAAAATACCTCTTTGTTACAAGCTGGAGATCACTCAATACCCTGAATAGGAATTTAAGATTCCGTGATTGAATTTGATAAGATTCAAGATTCCCTTTTGAATTTGATAGTTGCTACAAATACCATATAATCAGGTCTGGTAAGTGTAAAATAGCAGCTTGGCTGATCAGCTATAATGTGTGGATATGAGAAACCCAAATTTTGGTGGTCAAATATGTCCTGGAAGGCTGGGAAATACATACTATGCAGGAATTCCCAGTTTTTGAGAAAATTATTAAGAACAAGTACTTGGTTACATTTTTCATTTCTTTGTTTATAGTAAACATATTAATTCTGGAAGAGTCATTATAGCAGTATTCTCTAGTCTGTATTCAGTTTGGGGAAGGCTGTTTCGAAGCTCTAGCTTAAAAATTACAATAATTATTATTTTATCTTACAACTTCACAGGTTTCTCCAGTGTTTGCTTTGACATCTGGTTTTCTTATTAGTGAGAGATTCGGTATTTGAGAACAATATAGTAGCAGCTTGGTTTTAGAAGAATTTTTTTTCTTCTAAAATATATAAGTATTATATATTTTAGGCTCCAGTACAATATGTAAGTAATGCAGAATATTATTTCCAGAGAAGCCCACTAAATACCAGATTTTCAGATGATAAACTTGAGTTATAACTCCCTCTTTCCTGAGGTAGATGGATATAACATACTTCCTCTGCTCACAGAGGAATGGGTTTCTGGCAGTGATGTCCCACTGGTGAGGCTCATTTTAAAGTAGCCTTGGTTTCCTCTTAAGTGTGGCTGTAATGGAAGTAGGAGATTATATTTGTCCTATTTTGAATTCCTGAAAAATAGCAAAAACTATGCAGTGAATATACAACAGCTGCATTCCTTTACCCTTCTTAATACTAAACGAAAAAAACAAAACCAAACCAAACCCAAGCCAACCAAACAAACAAAAATCCCAAAAATGCCACAGAGTAAAAACAGTATAGATAAACAGACCTAAACAGAGCTACTGAGGGGAGGAATTAAAAAACCAAACAACCCTCGTGGCAAAAATGTCAGTGAAAGGGTAATTCTGCTGTCAGGCTGCCCATCAGGTTTCCTTCAGACATAAATATTTTGCAACTCAAGTAAAGATGTTTTCTAGGTTTAATCACACACTGTTTTAAGACAACTCCTGTTACCTAGTGATTCCACCTAATTTTCTGTTCACAGAAATGTGCCTGGCAGTACCCTCTGGTCTGTATCATATATAGAGGGAGGATGGGCACACTTTGCAAGCTTTCCATGCTTTACTGCTATCTGTTTTCTTTGTGAAGGACAAGGATGGCTGGTGTTTTGTTTGTTTTCCCTGTCATGTTTTGATGGAAAAAGCATGCTCCTTATCCTGCTTTCCTTTTAGAAGAGCCAGGAAAGGGGAGTGGCAGGAGGAGGAAGGGGGGTGAGGTCACATGGCTGAGTTCTGGTCTCCTGGGCCATGGCTGGGGTTTTTGTCTGGAAGGATTAAATAAATCCTGTTTTGCTACCAACAGGATGAAGGTAGTGGTGTAGGAAACATCTTGGAGTTTGTCCTGTGCATATAAAGGAGGGTACGCCACGAGAACACAAAGCCCTTTCTTTGCAAACAGGAAGGCTTTTATGTGACTAGTACAATTGCTATCCTGTGCATCATATTTGTGCTCATATTGCATTATGAAGTAATTTTCTGGTCCTTCCTTCTCCTTTTCATTCCAGCAATAGAGCTTTGTATATAACAAGAAAATAAAATGGCTGGCAGCTGAAAGGGAGAACAAATGGCATTCCTGTAATATGTGAAATAGTTGCCTCACTGTTTCAATTTTTCATTCACTTCCTTGGTAAGAATTATTTATAAACTCGATTCCAAAGTACTTTACAAAATACTTTGTCTGAATGCAAGGTTATTAGATATGGAACCTCTTTCATACTCCTCTACATGAAAAGTAAAGATATTTTATTACTGTCTTCAAAGCCATGTAAAGATAGTGTTGTAGACTGAATCTCAAACATATAAAAGATATTCTGAAATATCAAATTATTTATATACTCAATATATGTGAGTTAATTAATAACTGGTGTATTATTACTAGTGAGGAAAGTTGGTTTACTTTCCACAGTTTACAAA